TATCAATATTAGTATATGGGAAAAACGAAGCTCTTACCCAAAATAACAGTATGATTATGAAGTTGTGTAGCTCTATTCCCGCCCTCTATTTCTTTCAATTTTACTTAATAAACTCATCCTTCATTTTACTGAACTTATTCATTTTTACTTAATAGATTCAATTTTTACAATTTCCAGGATAGTTTCACTTAGAAGCAATCAATGATGTCTTCAACCATCAGTCAAAAATATTGTAATACTTTGTATTTTGTGATACTAAGATCTGAATACAAAAATGTCTTCTGACTTATATGTTCTGGAAAAGAGCAAAAGTATATATCTGGTTGATACTCCAGTATCGTCCACCCTCTCCACCCCATTAGCACTGTGGTTGGGGGAACTGAGCCCAACTTAAGGGAGGCAGGGTCCAATCAGTGCAAAGGTGTTCTCACCTTGTTCATGCTCCATTCAAGAAGAGACGTCTTAAACCCCAAACAAAATGGAAAGACAACCTACAGACTAGGAAGAAATATTTGCAGATCATGTGACTGACAAGGGCTTCATGTCTAAAATCTACAAATGGTGCATAAAACTCAATAGTAAAAAAACAGCCCAATCAAAAAATGGGCAGAAGACCTAAACAGGCGTTTTTCCAAAGAAGACATACAGATGGTCAACAGGCACGTGAAAAGATGCTCAACATCTCTAATACTAGAGAAATACAAATCAAAGTTACAATGAGGTATCACCTCACCCTAGTCAGAATGACCATCATCAAAAGTCTACAAATAATAAATGCTGGAGAGGGTGTGGAGAAAAGGGACCCCTCCTGCACTGTTGGTGGGAATGCAAACTAGTATAGCCACTATGGAGAACAGCATGGAGGTGCCTCAAAAAAACTAAAAATAGAACTACCATGTGATCCAGTGATCCCACCCCTGGGCTTATATCCAGAGAAAACTCTAATTTAAAAAGATACATGAACCTCAATGTTAATAGCACTATTCACAATAGCGAAGATGTGAAAGCAACCACCCTGCTTATTTAACTTATATGCAGAGTACATCACGAGAAATGCTGGGCTGGAAGAAACACAAGCTGAAATCAAGATTGCCGGGAGAAATATCAATAACCTCAGATATGCAGACGACACCACCTTTATGGCAGAAAGTGAAGAGGAACTAAAGAACCTCTTGATGAAAGTGAAAGAGGAGAGTGAAAAAGTTGGCTTAAAGCTCAACATTCAGAAAACTAAGATCATGGCATCCGGTCCCATCACTTCATGGGAAATAGATGGGAAAACAGTGGAAACAGTGGCTGACTTTATTTTTCTGGGCTCCAAAATCACTGCAGATGGTGATTTCAGCCATGGAATTAAAAGACACTTACTCCTTGGAAGGAAAGTTATGACCAACCTAGGCAGTTTATTAGAGTCAGAGACATGGCTTTGTCAACAAAGGTCCGTCTAGTCAAGGCTATGGTTTTTCCAGTGGTCATGTATGGGTGTGAGAGTTGGATTATAAAGAAAGCTGAGCACAGAAGAATTGATGTTTTTGAACTGTGGTGTTGGAGAAGACTCTTGAGAGTCCCTTGGACTGCAAGGAGATCCAACCAGTTCATCCTAAAGGAGACCAGTCCTGGGTGTTCACTGGAGGGTCTGATGTTGAAGCTGAAACTCCAATTATTTGGCCACCTGATGTGAACAGCCAACTCATTTGAAAAGACCCTGATGCTGGGAAAGATTGAGGGCAGGAGGAGAAGGGGACGACAGAGGATGAGATGGTTGGATGGCATCACTGACTCGATGGACATGGGTTTAGGTGGACTCCGGGAGTTGGTGATGGACAGGGAGGCCTGGCGTGCTGCGGTTCATGGGGTCGCAAAGAATCGGACATGACTGAGAGACTGAACTGAACTGGAAGCAACCTAGGTATGCATTAGGGCATGAATGGATAAAGAAGATGTAGTACACACAGTAGAATACAACTCAGCCATGAGAAAGAATAACGCCATCTGCAACAACATGGATGGACTTAGAGTATATCATACTAAGTGATTCAGAGTCACTTAGTCAGACAGAGAAAGACAAATATTATATGAAATCACTTGTATGTGGAATCTAAAAAAGAAGCTTATACAAATGAACTTGTTTGCAAAAGAGAAACCGATTCACAGACCTAGAGAACAAACTTTTGTTTACCAAAGGGGGAAGGGGAGAATAAAAAGAAAAGAAAAAACAAAAAAAGAGGGGGCATCTTATTCCATGTGAGCTGTTGAGCCATGAGGAGAATCTGGACTGAAGATGTGTGGGAAGCTTCTTCCTTGAGCTTTGGGAGACTCCGAGGGCACCAGACCCATTCCCTTCCTATGCATGTGGCCAGGAAGCATTTTCACCAGGAGTCGTTCTGCCTGAAACATCTCTAAGGGCCCCTCTGCCTCTGGACTTCATCAGCTAACCCAGTTAAGGTCTTCATTACTTAAGTCAGTTGGAGTCCAGTTTTCTGTTACTAGGAGCCAAAAAAAGGCCCCTAACTTATGTAATAATTAAGCCTTTGCGCTAAAACGTTATTGAAGCACTCTCCTTTGAGGCCCACTTTCCCAGGTGGTGCTAGTGCTAAATAATCCACCTGCAATGCAGGAGAGATGGGTTTGATCCCTGGGTTGGGAAGATCCCCTGGAGGAGGGTATGGAGACCCACTCCAGTTTTCTTGCCTGGAGAATCCATGGACAGAGGAGCCTGGCGGGCTACAGTCCATAGGGTCACAAAGAGTTGGACATGACTGAGGTGACTTAGCATGCACACACAAGAGAACAGGCCCACTCCTTCATGGATTTGGAAAACTTAACAAGAACTCTTGAGTTGGCATATTGATGAAAGGAGAATAAGCAACTTTCCCCTTACATTTTCAAGTATGTGTGGGAACCATTACTGTTGCAAACACTTTTATGCTTATGCAATATCTGCTTCTCCCTCTTCCTTGGTAACAAAGTTCAATCATATTCTGCACAGCAAAATGTGCCCTTGAGATGGCATGTTCCAGTTTTTTCTTGAATTGAGGGAAACCATCAACAAGATGTAAGCAGAAGTTATCAGGTAGGATTTGCTGGAAAGCTCCTCAGAAAAAGGGGTAGACCCTGATATGTACTGTTTTACTTCTTGCATGCACCTTCTTGCTTTCTGGAATGCAGTTACGAGGGTTGGAACTCCAGGAGCCATTTTGGACCATGAAACAACCCTCAGGATGGAAACCACATGTTAAAGATGACAGGTCAAAAAGATTGAAGGAACTTGAGTGTTTGGTGATTGCTGAACAAACCCAGGACTGCCTAACTCTGAACTTTCTTGATGTAAAAAAGAAACAAACCTGAACCCTGTTTGATCTGCTTATTTGGATTTTTCCATTGTATATACCGCCAGAACCTAATTCTAATTAATACATCATGTGCCGCCGTTAAGAACAGAAGCTCTGGGATCAGACAGACCTGAAGCTGAGAACCTGCTTTAGTAGCTAAGTGACCTAGGGGGCAAGTTAGTTAAAAGTCTCTAAGTCTCAGCTCTTCATCTGTAAAATGGGGCTACTGAATGGTAGTACATCCAGGGTTGTTGTGAAGATTACCCATGCTCAGTAGGATGCCTGGCACAGATTAACCATTCAGAACGTGTCAGTAGTATAATCTATTAATTGCAACTATACAGGCTAGCTGAATCAAGCCATATGTATTACAGAAAAAAAAATTGGTGGTCTACAACCTAAGCTAAGATCTTGGCACTTCCTGTTAATCTTTCTTTGTACCTTTTGTCATCTGGCTCTCCTATTCCTCAGACTTCTTTCACATTCTTTTCCAACTTATACCTCTTCTCAAGAACTCTACCCTGTTGGCATATGATATTGCCTTCCGCTTCATGGAAAAAATTAAAATTACTCAGAGTGAAACCCCCAGATGTCCTGCTTCTGTACCAAGTAAATTCTTTCCATGGGGTTTCTCCTCCCTTCAGAAGCTGGTCATTCCTCCTGTGGTTTGGAGACAATTCCTCTTGTCAACTCAGAAATGTTCACGCTTATCACACCCCAGCTCCCTCTCTTGCTTCTCAGTTATAGACAGGCGCAAATCTCAACCATCTTACAAAACTGAGACAAAACCAAACACTGTCCCTCTTCGACCCTTAGTACCCGTTTCTCCTGCACCTCAAGGTCAAGCTGTTTATTAAGGGCGTGATCTACATCCGTTATATTCACTGTGTTGCCTGCTATTTGCTCAACATTTACTATGTGCAGGGTGATTTACACACATTTATCTCCAATCTTCAAATCAGTACCACAAAGTGGGGCCATCCCGCCCCCCTTTTTTTTCTTTAAGAGGTGCCTGGGGCTCAAAGAGATTTCAGTATCTTGTTTCAGCTCAAAAAGCTAAAATCAAGATTGGAGCCCAGGTCACTCTGAATACAAGTCATGTTATTTGCATTCTGTCTATGGTTCCCAAACTTGGCAGGGCATCAGCGTCATCCATAGAGGTCCCACCCCAGATCTGCCCAACCATCATCTCTTGGTGAAGAGCCCAGGAATCCGGAACACCAGTCTCCTCTTGAATTTCCTCCCTTCCTTTCTGAGCTCTCCTTGCCTGTTGCTGTCTTCCTGCGATGTGCCCATCTCTAACCACATCCTAAATGTTGGCAACCCTCACCTTGGTTTCTAACCTCACCCTGTTCTTTTGCCAAATGTCAGGCTTGAGTGAGCTCATGGCCATCAGTGGATCTAATTGCTGTTTATGTGTTAATGCCTCCCAAACTGGTATTTCTAGCCTCACTCAGCCTCGCTCTTGGCTGATGGCTCTGTAATTCTATATATGAGAAGTTGCCAGTTGATTCTAACTTAGGTCCCTTAAATCTCAACAGGCCCACGATGGAATTTATGATGTTTCTCAAACAACCTGCTCCCAGGTCTGGCTTCAGAAGTGCCTTAGTCAGCTCGGGCTGCCTGCCATAACAATATACCTCCGATTGGGTGGCTTGGCCTACAGAAATGTGTTTTCTTGCAGTTCTGGAGGCTGGAAGTCTGGGTTCAGGGTGCTTCCATGGTGAGTTCTCATGCAGGTCCTCTCCCTGGCTGGCTGTGTGCTCACTTCATCTTTCCTCGGTGTGTGCCTGTGTTCTTATAAGGCCACCAATCTTCTTAGATTAGGGCCCCACCCTTATGACCTCATTTAACCTTAACCATCCCCTAAAGGCTCTGTCTCCAAATAGAGCCACATTGGAGGGCAGAGAGCACCAATACAGGAATTCTGGGGGGACATAGACATTCAGTCCGTAACAACAGGTCCTCCCCCAGGCACTCACTCGGGGGCCCAAGCTCAGAAGGATCTTGCACTTAGCATTTAATGTTCTGCATTATCTGCTTTGAAATTCTTAATAACCTTATATCTTCAAATTTCTGTTCCGTAGGTGAAGTCCTACAAGACGACGGAGCTCGTGGATTGGTGTTCACTCACTCCTGCGTCACACCACCTCCCTGCGTTCCTGGGACAGTTCTCAATCTCCCACCCCTGGCCCCTCACCCCGCGGGCCTCTCCTCTCCATCTCCTGTGACTCTGCACCCCTGTCCGCAGTGGGGAGACCCTGGGCACGTGTGCTGGGGGAGGGGCATGCTCGCCGTGTGTATCAGGGCAAAGCAGTGGCCATCCCAGCACCAGGCTGGCAGCACCTGGACACATTCAGGGGGCACCTTGGCAGCTGTGTGAGCCTCTTGCCCACCCCTGTCCAGGCACCTACTGCGTCATGGCACAGAAGTAACCATATTCTTGTTATGCAGGCGGGTGACCTGGGGCTGGGCTGGGTCTGAGGCCTCAAGGGAAGCGGAGCTGCCTCGCTTGAGTTCCAGGGACGCTGGTCGCTGGTTGGCAGGAGTGTAACCTGGCTGCTCTTAGCCTTGCCATCTGTACAGTCTGACTCCCTCTGTGTGTGTCCGTGTGCCCAAGAGACTGTGACAGTAGCAGGAAATAAAGACCACAGGTTAAGAGAGACACCGTGGAAGAAAGGACGAGTTCTCCCTGCGTGATGAACTAGGGACCTGCATTTTCATTTTTCAGCGAGCTCTGTAAATTACGTACCAAGCCTGCCTGCTCTGACTTTCTCCTTCTGTCAGTGATTCCACCACTCTGATCATCCAAGCCAGAATTCTGGGAATCGTCACCGACTTTTCCCCTTTTCCTGTCCCCCTAGACGTTTCTAGTGTCTTCATTTCCAAATGCCACTGACTTAGTTCAGGTAAGTGAAAGAAATTTGGAATGATCCTGGTTTTGATTAAGCCACCTGTGTTACCCCCATCACATAGGGAAGAAGGAAGGACTTCCTGCCTGTCCAGCGGTTAAAACTCCACACTTTCAATGCAAGGGGCAAGAGTTCAATTCCTGGTCAGAGAACTAAGATCTCATACACCAGTGGCACAGCCAAAGGGGGACAAAATAGATAAAGGAAAGGGAAGAAAGAGGAAAAGAGACAACAGCTCATGCTTAGTTCATCCTTTCTGTTGTCTGTGTTTGTGGGAATGACCTCAGTTGGGAAACAGTAAGAGGTAAGGTCTGGGCTTCCCTGGTGGCTCAGTGGTAAAGAATTCACCTGCCACTGCAGGAGCCATGGGTTCAATCCCTGGTCCGGGAAGATCCCACATTCTGTGAGGCAAATAAGCCCATGTGCCAACTATTCAGCCTGTGCTCTGGAGCCCAGGAACTGCAACTACTGAAGTCCATATGGCCTAGACCCCCTGCTCCATAGCAAGAGAAGCCCCTAAAATGAGAAACCCCAACACCGCAGCTAAAGAGTAGCCCCCGCTCACTGCAATGAGAGAAAGCCCTCGTGCAACAACAAAGACCCAGCACAGCCAAAACAAATAACTAAAATTATTTTAAAACACTTTTTAAGGGAGGTATGGTCTAAAAACACTTATCTCCATTACACTTTTATGCCCACACCAGCCCATCATGAACCCTTGATTTCTTTTTTGTTTCTATTTTTAAATGGTTACCTCCTGGTTACTTCTATCCTGATAAATCAGGAAAGGCCCCTGCTACCCTCTTCTTAATTTCTGCACATCTTCACTTGGTTGTATCTTACAGTCCTTGGGCAAGCACGTGACATGTATTCTGCAGACAGATCCACAGGCGTCTCTGTGGGTAAAAGAAAAGGAGAGAAACAATAGGCAAGGGCTTAGCTCCCCTCACGGTTTTTTAGCACAAAATTACCTTCGACGCGGTTTTTCAACGAAAGAATCATCCCAGGGATCAGTTCGGGCAGTGACTTGTATATCAGAGTTCAATGGCAGATTAAAAACTGCCGTGGGTACCTTATGCAGAATAGGAATTTAATCCAAGGAATTAGGTGCTTACAAAATTGTGTGAGGGGTGAGAAAGTCAGACTTTTAAGTAGGACCTTTAGGACTGAGGCTCAGGATGACTCTGTAGAAGTGACCTGGCATACTTTTTGTTGTTCACCTATCAGCTCTGTTTGTTTCTTTTTTCTTAAGAGGCTTTATTAGAAGTGAACCTGCATTCTTGGCAAAGCGGGCCCTGTTCATATAACCTAGAAACTCACAAAGCCGTGCAATCCAAAAGGTTCAAATTTCTGTGTTCACTTCAAGGACACATGTGAACCTGCCCAGGCCGTCAAGAGTGTGTGTCTCCAAACGGCCCCACTCAGGACAGACACGGTTGACATGTGGGAAATGTTGATTCTTTTTTGCAGGACCTTCTTGTGCCTTGCAGGAGGGTTCACAGCATCCCTGACTTCTGCCCACGGGATGTGTGAGAGCGCATCCTCAGTCACGACCATCAAAAAGATCTCCAGGGGATTTCCTGAGTGTTCCAGTGGCTGAGAGTCTGCCCTGTGGTGCTGGGGACCCCAGTTCAATCCCTGATCGGGGAGGTAGGATCCCACATGCTGCAGGATATTAAACCTGTGTGTGGCGACTACTGAGCCTGTGTACCATGTTGAGAGAATCCCTGCACCGCAAGGAAAGACCATGAATGATGTGATGAAGATCCCATCTGCTGCCACTAAGACCCCACGCAGCCAAATACACAAATAAATACAGTACTTTAAAAAGTCTCCAGCTGCTAAATGCCCCCTGGGTACAGAACAGCGCCTTAGTCAACAGCCACCTTTCTAGCCCGCGGCAGTCTAACCTCAGTCCAGGGTTCAGGAACCTGTCGCTGTTCTGTGCTTAGTCGCTCAGTCGTGTGTGACTCTTTGCAACCCCATGGACTGTAGCCCACCTGGTTCCTCTGTGGGAATTCTCCAGGCAAGAATACTGGAGTGGATGGCCATGCCTCTTCTCCAAAAGATCTTCCCAACCCTGGGATCGAACCCAGGCCCCCCGCATTGCAGGCAGATTCTTTACCATCTGAGCCACCAGGGCAGCCCAAGAATGCTGGAATGAGTGGGCTATCCCTTCTCCAGGGGATCTTCCCAATTCGGGAATCGAATCAGGGTCTCCTGCCTGGCAGGCAGATTCTTTACCAGCTGAGCTACCAGGGAAGCCCCCTGGAAGCTTTTGCCATGTTGTTACTTCCTGGACAAGCTGCCTGGGCTGTGATACGTGGATCAGCAGGACCGCTACCATCCAGACCAGCCAACGCCCTGGCCTCTCTTCCCACTTACTCAGCTTCACATACATCTCTTGTGTGAAGCCATCTCATAGGCGGAACCCAAAGAATATGAGACCCTAAGCTGCCAGGGAGCCTGCAGACAGGCATCCTCAGCCTTGCTGTTTTTGCAATAGGAGTAGGCACCCTGCTCGAAGAGGCTGAGATAAGCCTGGAGAGACTCTGTCCACCATCTTCGCCACACCATGCAAACTTTTCATTTTTGCCGAACAAGCCAGTAGAGACATGAATGTTAATATGTTGAAGTGTTTTATGGTTATGTCCATTACCAGGAAGATAAATTCTGGCACGAGATGTTTTATCACTTATTGTCATCGTCATCAGTCACGTAAACATTAACAGTACTAGTCTGCAATGTCACTGTATGTGTGTGAATTTACGTCCTGTCTCTCCAAGAAGCTGCAAGTTCTTTTTTTTGGGCAGGATCTTAGTTCCCTGATCAGGGATCAAACCTACCCCCCTGCAATGGAAGGGAGTCTTGACAACTGGATGACCAGAGAGGTCTCTGCAAGTTCTTTCAGAGTAGGACTGGGTGCTCCCCAAATGCGAGAGCATAGTTATGGGCACATTGTGGATGTTCTGTAAGAATTAGTACACTTTTTTTTTTAAAGTAAGTTATCAGAAATCAATTCAGGGGTGCTTCTAACCACTACTGTTCAATCAGAATCTAAGAGGCCCTTTGCGATCTCTCAGGATCATTTCACAATCTCCTAATGTTGAAACAATAAGGAACCTTTAGCATACCTATTGTTGGCATTGAATCTGAGTTGAGAAATACCTTAAAAGTGTAAGAGTTTTTTTAAATTTTTCATCGTATATACATGCTGCTATTACTCCATTTCTACCCACGATGGAATAACAGGAACCAGAGCGACCCTTCTGCCTGAAACAACAGCAACACACACACACACAGAATGTATGACACTCTGCGTTTCAGGCCACTGGACATCGGGCCGTGGACAGTGATCCCTGAGAGAGGAAACACGGGCTGGATGCTTAGTTGCCTTGGGCGTTGAGCGAGTCCCAGGCCGGCACTGAGAGGGGGGACCCGGCAGAGAGAGCCCACGAGAGTCCCTGGTCAGGGAGATGGGGAAGCCCTGCCCCCGGCGGGGGGACAGCCCTCAGGATGGAGACCCCCAGAGGAGAGAGCTACGCACAGGGAACGCGGCGGGCCTTCCTGAGTCTCAGCTGAGTCCTGAGCAGCTGTACATGGGAAGAGATGATGTGAGGCCAGGAAAGCACCATCCAAGAGCACGAGAGGTGACAGGGCCGGAGCTCACCCAGGACCCGCCCAGGGCTGTTGGCACCAGCCAGGGCAGGAGCCTGCTGAGTCACGGGCACCTGCTGGAGCCATGAGAAGGGCCTCTGGTGGGAAGAGCGATTAGCCCTCAACGGAGCACTGCTCGGGACCCTGCTAACAAAGCCTGAAAGGGAAAGTGAAAGTCACTAAGTCGTGTCCGACTTTGTATAGTCCATGGGATTTTCTCCTGGCCAAAATACTGGTGTGGGTAGCCTCTCCCTTCTCTAAGGGATCTTCCCAACCCAGGGATCGAACCCAGGTCTCCCACATTGCACGCAGATTCTTTACCAGCTGAGCCAGCAGGGAAGCCCAAGAATACTGGAGTGAGTAGCCTATCCCTTCTCCAGTGAATCTTCCCAACCCAGGAATTGAACCGGGGTCTCCTGCATTGCAGGCAGATTCTTTACCAACTGAGCTACCAGGGAAGCTCCAACAAAGCCTAAAAGCAACGCCCAAGAGGATCGCACTGTTTGCAACAAACTTAACTGCCTCCCAGAGTCCAAGAATATTACAAGATAGCAGAATACCCAAGGAGGCAAAGTTCACAGTGTCTAACATTCAGTAAAAAACAAACACCAGTCATGCAAGGAAGGAAAATATGACCCATATTAAGGAGATCTATCAATAAATCCAAACAGATGCAGAGCTGACATGGATGCCTGAATCAGCAGTAATCATATTAATAACCGCATTCCAGACATTCTGAAGTTAAGTAGAGACGTTTGTTGGCCTTCTTTCCTTTTTTGCCTCTTGGATAATTCGGTCCCGACACCATTAGTGG